AAGCTCTGGCAGAGCTTTCCCCCCAGTGGAAGGGGGAGGGGACCAATGCTCTTCGCTGCAGATGGCCCAAGAGTTTCCTCTATGCCTTTCCCCTGCTTCCCATCATTCCGGTAGTAATTTGGAAGATGTTGGAGGAACGTGCGGAGCTCCTCCTCCTGGCACGCTATTGGCCAAGGAGGCCCTGGTTTGCAGACCTGGTCAATCTGTCGGTGGCTTCTCCTTGGAGGATCCCTGCCCATCTAATCTCCCTTCACCAGGGGGCCCTGCTCCACCCAGAGCCCCAGTGGTTCAAGCTGGCCGTGTGGTACTTGAGCGGCAGCGGCTAGAGGAGGCTGATCTTCCAGAAAGGGTCATCCTCACTATCCTGGCTTCTCGCAAACCTTCTACAAGGCGCATCTATGATGCCACCTAGAAGGCTTTTTCCCGATGGTGCCTCAGGGAGGGTCTTTCTCCTGCTTCAGCCCAGTTGGCAGAAATTCTTAGCTTCCTTCAGCATGGGCTGGAGAAAGGTTTGGCCCCCAACACCTTACGCAGGCAGGTTGCGACCCTCTCCTCGGTCCTTTCATGGGGTTCGCTTCCTTCCTTATCCCATCACACTTCAGTCAGGAGGTTTTTGAAAGGAGCTTGCAACCTGCACCCTCCGGTGGTTCACAGGTATCCTTCCTGGGACCTTCATTTGGTCCTTAATGACTTTACAAAGCCCCACTTTGAACCCCTTAGAACAGCGTCTCTCCGTTTCCTGACTCTGAAGGTAGTGTTCCTTGTTGCCATCACTTCTGCCAAGAGGGTTTCCAAGCTTGCTGCTCTTTCCATCAGACAGGACCTTTGTTCCTTTCACGTTGATAGGGTTGTTCTTCATCTGGACCCCTCATTTATTCCGAAGGTTAACACCTGGTTTCACAGGTCCCAGGACATTGTTTTGCCTGACTTCTGTCCTCTCCCGCACCATGACTTAGAGCGACAGTGGCACACGCTAGACGTAAGAAGGGCTCTTAGAATATACATTAAGTGCACTTCCTCCTTCAGGAAGTTGGAAGCCATGTTTGTTTCCTTTTTCCCTTCTCACTTGGGGCACAAGACCTCTTCTCCTACTATTAGCAGGTGGGTCAGGTCTTGCATTGAGCAGGCCTACAAATCTGCGGCCCTTCCGGTTCCCCGAGGTTTGACGGCGCACTCTACCAGAAGTGTGGCCACTTCTGCCTGGGTGACCCAAGCATCCTTGGAGGAGATTTGTCGTGCGGCCACGTGGACATCCCCATCTCCTTTCATCAGACACTACCGTCTGGATGCTTTTGCCTCGGTGACTGCAGCCTTCAGCAGACGGGTGCTTCAACGAGTGGTTCCACAGTCGGTGTGATGAGCCAGACGAGGACCTGCCTGTGGTTATGCAAGCTTTGGTATGTCCCATCCTGGGCTCTTGATGCAGCATAGAGGAGAATGGGCGTTGGTAGAAGTTACCGTGAACGCCCTTTCTATCTATGCTGCAAGAGAGCCCAGCCCCTCCCTTGATCCGTCCGGAGAGGGTAAGACATATTTCTGTATTTATTTTGGGCTTTCAGAGACACCTTTCAATCTGTCAAGTGTCTTCGCCAAAGCTGGGGTCTCTCCCGGGGGCTGGCTTTTATAGCTTAGTACAGACTCAGCTATTACGTCATAGGAAGGAGTCAACCCATCCTAGGCTCTCTCTCAGCATAGATAGAAAGGGCGTTAACGGTAACTTCTACCAACGCCCATTCTCTTTGATCTGCCCATGGGAATCCTTTTATCTCTTTCGGTTAGTAAATATTGACTTATGATTGAAGTTTGTTGGCCACTACAGTACATTTGTTTGTTTTATTTTTGTTCATGGGCATTAGGCAAAAAAAATATTATTCTGGTCACATCATACTACTAACTTTCTCTCAGAGGATGATCCAGTGAATCACAGGGTTGTCTAGACTACATTAAAAAGATAAAACAGATTACCAAGCTTAAGTGAGCCACCAAAAGGCCATGACTTAGAAGATGTTTGGTCACAGAAAATGTCATAGCAGAGGATCTCAATAGACAAATCGGTAGCTGTAGAAGATGAACATGGGAGAAGATAGCCCTTTTAATATTCTGACCCTAAACAGTTCAGTGGATCTTAGCACTTAGAAATAGGAAGTCGGTTTTTTAAAACAAGGGAGCCATCATGTTCCATGCACCCAATCTTGTTTAGCAATGGGGCTGCTGCACTGGATAACTATAGTTTCTAAAGTGAATATATTTCAGTAAGGCACATGTGAGGAAACTGAGAAGTATCACCTTGGTAAGATCTGCATCCTTCAGAGGTAGGAATAATTGGTAATGGACTTAAATAAGTGAAAACATATTTTCTTCTGGTGATACAGCTTGTAATTTTGGATCTTAAATAGGCAGTTACAAAGATGATGCAAATGTATCATACTGTGAGTGGACAATATCTAGAAATAGGTCACCATTTTCAGATCTGGTTTTGCTGCTCTCTATTCTCTTCTCTTTTCTTTTATCCTCACACTTATTCTGTGAAGGCACATTTAGCTACATTTTTCCATATAGGAAAACTAGTATTTGGGATATAATGAGATTTTTTTAAAAAGAAAAAGGATGAGAGTGACACTGCTGTTTCTAACTAAGCATTAAGCTTTCATTGATCTTTTGCTACATACTGCAGAGGAGTCTTCATGTTCTGCTGTGGGCGTGGGTCACTATTCAGAGTGATTTATAATAATTCCCCATTGTAAGAGGCAAAGAATGATATATGTGAACTGCTGTTTTTGCTTAGGCAGTAATGAAAGGCAGCCCATTACATTGTACTAGAAGCCATGGTTTTCCATAATAATGGCCGATACACAGCTTACTGTTTAATGAAGAGCAAAAATTTTAGCTTTGGAGAAAAAAGAAACGTCATCCAGAGTTTGGAAAATTGAAAAATATTCTGGGGAAGATACGAATGAACCATTTCCATAGAGTATTGTTGCCAAGAAAAACATACAGACCATATTATTACCAGGAATTGAGCTCTACTTGAGATGGACTTTCCCTTTATTCTTGCCCATACAATATCTGACTTAAACTTGAGTGAAAAATAAAAGTTGTAGTTATTTTTCATATCAAATTATTCTGGTCATCTCTAATATGTTAAGGAGGTATGACAGGGTTGGTACTATCATTCTTATTCCTAGAATATTTATTGGGATAGGAGTTTTGAAACATCTGAATTGTTTCAGAAACCGTATCTGTATTTGTTTCTAGAACAATAACTGTATTAACCTTTTCCAGTAAAAACAACTAAAAATGTTTTAGACTAAAAGATATTATTATTGCAAAACCTTTTTGTGGACTTTGGACTGAAATCCATGAAAATGAACTTGGTAATAAATGGTTTAGTAATTCGGGTGCTGTGTTTTTTAACTGGATTAGAACATTGTTAAAATACATGCTGAAATAATTTGTTTTATTATTAAAAATCAAGCAGAAAACTTGCACATGGTTTATGTTGAAATCTTTCTGTTTTTCCATTTCTCTTCCTTTTATGTGATTATTCTTCTATTTCAGTTGGTTCTAAAGCAAAACACTTAAAATTTTACTACAGAATAATCTCAAGTGATGAATGTGAAGTGGTATTTAAACAGACATAACATAATTTAATAAGTGAGTTAATTCCTTGACTATACTACTTTGCCATAAAAATATTATTTGCAAATAGTCATATACTATTAATAAAAAGGTAAAGATTTCCCCTGTCCAGTCATGTCCAAGATTAGGAGGTAGTGGTAATCTCCATTTCTTAGTCTAGGGTAGGGGTCTGCAACCTGTGGCTCTAGAGCCACATGCGGCTCTTTCGGCTCTCTGCTGCGGCTCCCTGTCGGCTGATCCCACCACTGGCTGGCCCCTCCCCTTCCCTCCCCGTCACTCTTCACCTGGCCTTAGAAGGTAAGGGTGATGTTGGGGGATGGAGACTCGCTCCATATTCCAGAGCAGGAGGTTACTGGATGGAAGTGAGTGACATTGAATTGGCCACCCAGTCACACCGGTTGTTAAATTATTGGCCCCCAGTGTTTTCTTTTCTGTGAGAAACAGGTCCAAATGGCTCTTTGAGTGTTTAAGGTTGCAGACCCCTGGTCTAGAGAACTAATGTTGTCCAAAGACCCTTTCCATGGTCATGTGGCTAGCATGACTATATACTGAGGTCCACAGAACATTGTTGCCTTCTCACTGAAGTGGTAGTTATTTATCTACATGCATTTGCATGCTTTCGAATTGCTAGGTGGGCAGGAGCTGATGCAAGGACCGGAGCTAGGCTGTCAGCTTTGTAGCTGACAGGCTCAGTGTTGTGGTCCATCGACTGCCAGCAGAGCTAGCAGCAGAGTTAGATGAGAAGGTTGAGGGAGAGCCTGGGCCAGCTTCAAAGCCTTTGGAAGGTTTTAATAAGGAAACAGTATCAGAGCCAGAGCTGGCCTTCCATCGTCCCCTAGATGGAGAGGCTGTCTTAGGGGCCTGAGCTGAGTCAGGGGGAGGAATAGATGGGGCCCATCCCAGATGTGCGTATGCGTATACAGGAAAGGAGAGTAGAGTAAAGGAAAGCAATAAGCCGGTGCTCAGGGAAAAACAGACATAGATGCTAGCCAGCACCTCCCTGGTTGGGAAATAAATAGTAAGGGTTTGGGAATGGCTGGTATGTGTTTGGAAGAGTTGATAGCTGTTCAAAACCAGATGCTTTTGACCAGATAAAAATGCATGGTGTTTTTAAAGTGAAATCTTTTTGAGAGAAACTGCAGCTCATTATTTAAGGAAGGCAGCATAACCAACCAGTTTTCACATTTCCTGGGAGGCTGTATAAGTTTCAGGGTAGTCCGAATGCAGAAAGGATTCTATCACATTTGATTTAATTTCTGTTTCTTTGTAGCTAGCATCCAAGATAGAGACTACTTGCTTTTTATTGTCTCATAGTGTGCAATGCTTTCTTTCTCTTCCCCCACCCCTCCTCCCCCAAACAGGGTAAGAGTAAGTGGTGAATTCTACATCTTTTCAAAAACACCAGGTAAACCTAGATTTGTGTAGATCGTGCATTGGAACAGATGGATAATGGAGACTGGGGATATATAGTAAGTATTTCTATTGCTCAATAACACATATTTTTCAGAATACAAAAAAAATTCTCATTATACAAAGTTTCCACAGATAGTTATCTTAATCCCAAAGCTACACTTAAAATACTAAACTTCACAGACCTACAGCAAAAGTTAATTTGCTAATTAGAAGGATAATTCAGAGACCATGTCTATGCTAGATTTCATGCAGCCATTTTTTTCAGCAAGTCTGATATAGTGATCCTATTTTCAATTAATCTCCGCCTGCTAGAATGCTTATTGCGTGGTGAAACCTCATTCAGAAAAGCTTATATTGGAGAAATTCCCAGTATCCTTGGATGTTCTAGGAAATTCAAGTGAACATCTCTAGTTTCACAGCACTGTATTCCAAAAAATTCCCCATGTTCTTTTCTGCATGATTTTTTTTTCATTGAATCAGTAACAAACTACTTTCCAATTGGGTTTTAAGTAATCATTGCTACCTCAAGTATTTCCACCAATAAACAAGGAAATGTTGCAAATTGTTTACCTTTTCTAGAGCCTGTATGTCATATTTTAAAAAGCCTTACATGCCAGAAGCAATTTATACCTTCTCTGATGCACATTTCAGAATCACTGTTTTTCAGTGGTACAATTTTTCTAAATTATTTCAGTGAGGGTTTTTTTTGTTATTTAGAATAGAATAACAATGGAAGGAATCTTGGAGGTCGCCTTCTATTCCAACCCTCTGCTTAGGCAGGAAACCCTATACCATTTCAGACAAATGGTTATTTGACTCTTCTGAAAACTCCATTCAAAACTGATACATTGGTCCTCCCACATTGCATTCTTTTATATATATTATTCAGTTGGGTTGTTGTTGTCAATTATAAGCTATCCTGGAATCCAGCCAACAAGGCCTGTAGGGCATGGGTGTCAAGCTCCCAGTGTCACTTTGCCATCATGTGACAATTTTGCAACATTTTTTTTCCCTTCACAGAGCTGGGGGGGCATGGCGTGCGCATGATGCATCTAGCCCATGGGCCACCAGTTTGATACCCCTGCTATAGGGGAAGTTAAACGGTATAGGGGTACCACTTTAAATTGTGATCTATTGGATTTGCTTAGCCTTTTAATTATCTGAAAGCAGGTTTCCCATTCCAGAGTGCAAAAGTGGGTTAAAATTAAAGAAAGGCAATTTCCAGGTAAACGTTTGCAAAATACTTCCTAACAATAACATTAGGTGAATAAATTATGAATCAAGTGATTTACTGAATACACATAGTCCTCAGCTTATGACTTCAATTGAGCCCCAAATTACGTTAAGTGAGAAATCTGTTAAGTGAGTTTGCTCCATTTCACAACTTCTCACCACATTTGCTAAACGAATCACTGCAGTTCTTAAATTAGTAACACGGTTGCTAAGTGAATTTGGTTTCCCCATTGACTTTGTTTGTCAGAAAGTTGCAAAAGGGGATCACATGACTCAGGGACCCTGCAGCTATCATAAATTATGAGTCAATTGTCAAGCATCCGAAGGTAAATCACGTGACCATGGGGATGCTGCAATGGTCATAAGTATGAAAAATGGTCATAGGTCACTTTTTTCAGTGCCATTGTAACTTTGAAGTCGAGGACTGCCTGTATTTAAAACCAGGTAACGTGAGTGTAAAAGTGTTCTGAAACTTATTTTTTCTTCCCTAAGATGACTGAGCCGGTCACTCTAAATGTGGGTGGACACTTGTACACAACATCGCTTACAACTCTTACGAGGTATCCTGATTCGATGTTGGGGGCCATGTTCAGGGGCGATTTCCCGACTGCCAGAGATTCTCAGGGCAATTACTTCATTGACCGAGATGGGCCTCTTTTCCGGTACGTTCTCAACTTTTTACGAACCTCAGAGCTAACTCTACCATTGGATTTTAAGGAATTTGATCTGCTTCGGAAAGAGGCAGATTTTTATCAGATCGAGCCCTTAATACAATGTCTGAATGATCCTAAACCTTTGTATTCTGTGGATACTTTTGAAGAGGTAGTAGAGTTGTCTAGTACACGCAAACTATCAAAGTACTCCAACCCGGTGGCAGTGATCATCACACAGCTAACCATCACAACCAAGGTCCACTCCTTGCTGGAAGGCATTTCCAACTATTTCACCAAGTGGAATAAGCACATGATGGACACCAGGGACTGCCAAGTTTCTTTCACATTTGGGCCCTGCGATTACCACCAAGAAGTCTCTCTCAGAGTCCACCTGATGGAGTATATAACAAAGCAAGGCTTCACCATCCGAAACACGAGGGTCCACCACATGAGTGAACGAGCCAATGAAAACACAGTCGAGCACAACTGGACTTTCTGCAGGCTGGCGCGGAAAGCGGATGATTGATTTTCTGTTCGTTTTCTTGTTTTTAATTTTCAAGAAGATGACCCAGCATCCTCGGAACAATGTATTATGAATCGGTCTGGCTTTGTCTAAAACAGTATTGGAGGCTTTCTGTTCTTATTTTGCTATGAATATTTATTATTGGTTTTTAAAGATTGGAGAGTGGATATGTGCTGGACTCTTCTGTCTTTTGTCTCGTGATATGCATGTGGCTGCTCTAATATTATGACTTTTTAAAAACAAAGGATACACAAGAGGGCATCCTTTAAAAACATGGCAGATGATCACATTATAACGTTTTTGTTTTGTTATGGTCATTGACCACAATATAGAATGCTAAACATCAGTCTCCAGGTTCAAACTGTGTTTAATCCATCTCCTTATGATTACAACTTCTGGGAACAAGAGTTAAAGGGTTAAATAAGAAGTTAAAGCTGGAGAAATTCCTTCTGGATTGTCCCCAGAAATGGCTATGGTGCTTTTGGAGATGAAATACTACCATCATGTAATCTAACATTGTTTTTCCTTAAATCAGTGAGTGAACAGTATTATAACAATTTAGTTACCAACAAACCTCCATTGTTTTTATTTTCCAAAATGCAGCATTTTGCAGTTATGGCAACTGTTCCTTTTTATGCATTATAAATCAAGCAACCAAATATTATATCTGCACAATTAGAAGTATTCATATTGGATTCTGAATGCAAATCCATCCTGTGGTAGAAATCCTTATTTTTTTAATGCCATGTGCAATATTATTTCCAAATGTAATGCTTTTCAACAAACGCTAATAAAACACAGTCTGGAAATTATATTTGCAAGCTGTTTGTTCCTAGGACATGTAAGAATGGCAAAGGAAAGAACATTTAAAATAGGGACAGTACTTAAAATTATTGGCAGGGCTTTTCAAAGCATTTGTAAATGGAAAGTAGGCTGGACAATGCAAATGACATTTTCTTAGAATAGGAACCAATATGCCGTACCTCCTGTTCTGCTCTCCACCCCATCTGATAATTAAATGAGAAGTTTGCATGCTATACAAAGCCCTACTCTCTGGTGTAGCGTTTGTTCCCTAGGGGGCCTTTGGCCTCATGTAAAGCATTCTTAGAAAATGAAGTGGGTTGGGGTGCAGGGAGCAGAAATTGGTTGCAGAAGCAACTTCATTTTTTGCGTTCTGATAAATTCCATTTTTGCTATGCCATTTAGAGCAATTGTTTCATGACTATATCTTTCCATGGAAATCCTTTGTTGACAATGTCCCCAAAACGATCTCAAAATTCCAGGGATCCATTCAGATACAGAAAGATTATTCTTTCCAGTATAGAATCTGAATACTTGGTCCATTTGGCCCAAGAGCTCTTTAAAATTTCCAGTGGTTTACTTTTGCTTATGAACCCTGAAGTAAACTTTAGAACTAACTTTGATGAATATTTGAACAACTTGGTGATTTTTTCATAGTTTATCTATAGCCAGAAAGTAAAAACTATGGAAACTGAAATCTTTCTTGTCTTTGTGGCTGCATAGATGGATGAATAAACTCAAGGTTTTCCTTGAGTTTATCATGACTCATATATAATGTTAAACCATAGTTGAATATGTGCAAATGTAGCCAGTTAGCCTGTATGCATGTACTTTTCATATGGATTTGATTTCATACTCATATTGTTTGAATTCTGGAATAGAAAAAGGCTACTGCTAACCTGCATCCTTAGGGAATTAATCCATGTAGCTGTTAGTTCAAGCCTTTCTTATATTATTTCCAAAGCTTTTACTAGCTTGCCTAAATGTTCCTGGCTTGAATACATAATTTTGAATCCTGGAACAATATTTTGACAACTATACAGAGCAGTACAGAAATTGCTTTAAAATAACATTTAAGAGTATGCTATCTTAAGAGATGCACGCTCAAGTTTAAGTGTTTCCCAAGCATTCAGATTTCAGGCTGTTTAAATTGATATACCAGATCATGACAGATTGCCATTAAAAGTTTGCTTAATTTATTTTACAGAGCTTATAGGCTACTCTGATCACAGGGCATTGGGTGGTGGCTGGAGACCCATAAATCTACCAAATTCAGACTAGCCTCTAGACAATCCTGAGAGGCAAATAGGAAGAGTGCATAAGGGCAGCTGCCATGCAGAAAAGCAAACCTCAAATTCTCTGAATGCCAGCAATTATTCCCACCTCACCTTGGTACATCAGAAAGGCCTGGTTGTGACAATGAAACTGCTCAGGCTACATCCGCTGTGTTCAATTTCCACCCCCAAATTGCAAAGGACATTTTATTGATAGTGGAAATAGAGAAAAAGAGGATGGAGTCCTACCACAATTTATTATTTCAGGCATACACGCTTAATGTTTTGAAACAGGAAACTAAAGCATCAGGTATCCTGGTATAACCTAACCATACTATGTGCCATTGCCAGCCTCACATAAGGAACAAAGCAAGAGCTATACTTCACTGAAAAGACACACTTCTCCTGAAAGAGATGGCATTCATTCCAACATGATCCCTAACCACAAAACTATACAAAACAAGAGGGATGCATCATGTAATTGACTATTGCAGTGCACTGTATACGGGGCTGTCCTTGAAAAGCATCCAGAACCTGTCAGTCAGCTCAAAATGCAGAGGCCTGCATGGTTTTGTGTGAGTCCAAATTTGCATTTGTGTCACTTCTTTTGTGGAGCTTCACTGGTTGCTGATTTGCTTCCAGGTGTAACTCAAGGTGCTGGTCATCAGCTTTAAATCCCTACATGGCTTAGGGCAGGTTAATTGAAAGAATGCCTCTCCCCAGTTACATGTCTCTGGCCCAACAAACAGAAAGGCAGGGAATTGTTGCAAGTCCCAACTATCAAGAAAGTACATCCGGTGGAATCTAGGAAAAGGACCTTCTCTGTGGTGGCTCTCTCCCTTTGGAAACATTTCCCCTGGAGATAAGATTGGCCCCCACCTTGTTGCTTTTCTGCAAAGCCTTGAAGACATGGTTTTGTCAGCGGGCTTGGGAATTCCCACTCAGAACTGATCAAATGTGCTGACTGTTGTCACCACAACTGTGGGGGTGTGGGGGTGTTAAATTGTGGGTTTTGACCACCATCTGGAATCACGATGTATTGAGCAGCTAGTCCTCAGCAAACAATCATTTCTTTAGTGATTGTTTAAGTTATAACAGCACTGAAAAAAGTGACTTCTGACCAGTACTCACACTTTTGACTATCACAGCATCGCCACAGTTATGTGATCAAAATTTGGATACTTGGCAGTGAGCGTGTATTTCTGACAGCTGCATTGTCCTAAGTCATGTGATCATCATTTGCCAACTGGCTTCTGAGAAGCAGTTCAATGGACAGAAACCAAATTAGCTTAATGATCACAATTCACTTAGTAACTGCAGTGATTCAGTTAACAACCGGTAAAAAAAGTTCATAAAATCAGGTATGACTCACTTAACAACTTGTTTAACAACAGAAGTTCTGGTCCCAGTTCTCATAATTTGAGGACTACCTCTATAAATTAGTTTAAATACATACATACATAGGTGCATGCATGAATGCATATATACATACGTACAGCAGTTAAGTGGGAGAGATAATACATTTCTGAGATGGATCTATTTTTAGGAATTTTTACGTAGGGAGGAAATGCAAGTTTAAATATTAATCTGATGCAAACCCTTAGCACTTGCTGTATTAAATTGGTTCCTGCATTATATTCTGGTATATATGCATGTGTAGTTTAATTGCATCAGAAACATAATTTAGTATTTTTAATAAGATGAAATAATGAATCTGTGAAAATAGTAATATTTTGTACTAACTAAGCAACTCATTTTAGACTGCAACATGGCACACAACTCTCAATGTTATTGGATTTGAGAATAACTGCAATTTTAATAAGATTTTCGTATGCACTGAAATGTGCAACGAAAGACCATGGTTTGGTTTTTGTTGCATTGCAAGAAATTGTGCCTCTACTTCTGACTAAAAAGAACCTTTGTGTGGATAATTATTATTTTTGTTGTTTCTTTTCTTTTGCTTAGGGTGCCGGGAGGAAAGATTATCTCTAAAAAGAAATAGAAATAGAAACTTTAAAATAAATGTTAAATGTTGCAGAGGAAATCCAGTAAAGGAAACGACTGGAGCAAGCTAATTTTTATTGTTTGTAAATCACAGGAGTCATTCATCTATGCCCAGCTCAGATCATAATTTATTAATTAAAACCTTTTAAAAATTATTTTAATTATTAAACCACAAGTGGTTTTTATTATTTCTAACATTTTGTCGAGATTCTGAAATACCTTTTTAACTTTAAAATTTCAATCCCTCATGACTTTAATAATTAAATCTTTACACTTGAATTGCCAAACTTTAATTTATTCTTAGATTCCTATGTCTTTATTTTCTGTAATTCAAGGCAGCACATCTAATGCTTTTGATCCCTGTTTGCTGCACAGCAAAAACCTGCAAGGTGGACTCACCTGAGAAAGTGTCCCAAATTCACCTAGCTGGCTTTGGTACCTGGGGAGAGGGCTAGAAGACCACACAGTATCCTAGTTGGTCTTTTGGTTTCTAGGCCCGCACCTTCAGCACTGTACCAACCAGGGGCCTCAGTTGAGTGCTTCAAGAAACATTTACAGCTTTATGAGGTGAATTAGGCTGCCTTTATAACTTTTAGCGGCACCCAACTGAGGCCCCTGCTTGTGACACTTGATCTGCCCAAATCCATCCTTGGCTCTTTCTTGGTTGCCAACCAATTGATTAATTGCTAGCCTTCAGGGGAACAAATCTAGGGCTGCTTCTGTGGATATGTATTTTGTGATACCCATTAAAAAATTTTTTTTAAAAAAACCTTTTCACTCCAAATTTAAAATACATGCCTGATGAGCAAATTCAGTGGAATGTTATCCATAAGAGGCTGCTGTTTTATATTCAAAGCATTTCAAGCTTGAAATGGGTTGTTCTGGTGTTATTGGAAACATCCTGGGTATTCCAAAATGTTCGGTGCTTGATTTAGAACTTGTAACTTCTCCAGAAAAATTAATACAATATTGGAAACTTTCCAGAAGCGTCTGAACAATTATTTCCAATTTGAAACAGGGCATGTTCAACACAAGTTTTTTTTAATATACTGGTTGTCAGTCATTTTATTCTTAAATAAGCCACATAACAAATATAACTAATCATATACTGTGTTCTTTTGTCCTTCAAAAGCTCTTCATAAATGGGATTGTAGGGCAGTGACTCAAAGACAAATATAATGTAGTTGCAAAGCAGTAGACAAATCCCGTATTCCAGTTTAAATTTACTTAGCTCATCACACAGAGGGTTGTAAATGTCTTTATAACACCTCTGGCTATACTTCTTGTTTTATCCAACTCTCATCTATGTTTCAGGGTTTCTCCTTTGCAAGGTCACTATGTTTATATTTCAACATATTCCTTTTAACCTCAGGGTAATTTTTTGTTACTCTGTTGGTAGAAGATGGAGAAAATAGCAAATGTCCAAAACACAGTTGAGATGAGACCCAGTTTGAATCCAATGTTAACAGTCACAAGATAAAACGGCAATCATTTGTAATATGCGCAGTAAGAAAAAACATCCCCAAGTTTTGAGATTTTAGAAGGGAGAGGCAGCACAATATACACTGCTCAAAAAAATAAAGGGAACACTTAAACAACACAATGTAAGTCTTAAGTCAATCACGCATCTGTAAAATCAAACTGTCCACTTAGGTAGCAACACTGATTGTCAATCAATTTCACATGCTATTGTGCTAATGGAATAGACAACAGGTGGAAAGCATAGGCAGTTAGCAAGACATCCCCAATGAAGGAGTGGTTCTGCAGGTGGTGACCGCAGACCACTTCTCAGTTCCTATGCTTTCTGGCTGATGGTTTGGTCACTTTTGAATGCTGGCGGTGCTTTCACTCTAGTGGTAGCATGAGATGGAGTCTACAATCCACACAAGTGGCTCAAGTAGTGCAGCTCATCCAGGATGGCACATCCATGCGAGCTCTGGAAAGAAGGTTTGCTGTGTCTGTCAGCATAGTGTCCAGAGCATGGAGGCGCTACCAAGAGACAGGCCAGTACATCAGGAGATGTGGAGGCAGCCGTAGGAGGGCAACAACCCAGCATCAGGATCGCTACCTCCGCCTTTGTGCAAGGAGGGACAGGAGGAGCACTGCCAGAGCACTGCAAAATGACCTCCAGCGGGCCATAAATGTGCATGTGGCTGCTCAAACAGTCAGAAACAGACTCCATGTGGGTGGTATGGGGGCTCGACATCCACAGGTGGGGGTTGGGCTTACAGCCCAACACCATGCAGGACGTTTGGCATTTGCCAGAAAACAAGTTTGGCAAATTCGCCACTGGCGCCCTGTGCTCTTCACAGATGAAAGCAGATTCACACTAAGCACATGTGACAGATGTGACAGGCTCTGGAGATGCCATGGAGAACGTTCTGCTGCCTGCAACATCCTCCAGCATGACCGGTTTGGCAGTGGGTCAGTAATGGTATGGGGTGGCATTTCTTTAGGGGGCCGCACAGCCCTCCATGTGTTCGCCAGAGGTAGCCTGACTGCCATTAGGTACCGAGATGAGATCCTTAGACCCCTTGTGAGACCATATGCTGGTGCGGTTGGCCCTGGGTTCCTCCTAATGCAAGACAATGCTAGACCTCATGTGACTGGAGTGTGTCAGCAGTTCCTGCAAGACGAAGGCATTGATGCTCTGGACTGGCCTGCCCATTCCCCAGACCTGAATCCAATTGAGTACATCTGGGACATCATGTCTCGCTCCATCCATCAATGCCATGTTACACCACAGACTGTCCAGGAGTTGGGGATGCTTTAGTTCAGGTGTGGGAGGAGATCCCTCAGGAGACCATCTGCCACCTCATCAGGAGCATGCCCAGGCATTGTAGGGAGGTCATACAGGCATGTGGAGGCCACACACACTACTGAGCCTCATTTTGACTTGTTTTAAGGATATTACATCAAAGTTGGATGAGCCTGTAGTGTTTTTTTCCACTTTAATTTTGAGTGTAACTCTAAATCCAGACCTCCATGGGTTGCTAAATTTGATTTCCATTGATAATTTTTGTGTGATTTTGTTGTCAGCACATTCAACTATGTAATGAACAAAGTATTTAATAAGAATATTTCATTCATTCAGATCTAGGATGTCTTATTTTTGTGTTCCCTTTATTTTTTTGAGCAGCGTATATGATGTGTTCGGTTCTGAGAATGCACATAAGTTAAGCCAAATCAGATTTGAGGTCAGCATGTATTCAATCAGTAAGGGCAGCTGGTGTAATTTTCTAACTGCCCCCCAGCGATGCTATCTCAAGGTCATTTTGTGAAATTGATTTGGTCCGTAACTCTAGTAAAACTCCAATGGGAGTTTCACTAAGAACGTTTTCAAAAATTAAATAAGCCCTAAAACTTTCATGAGAACCATTTTAGTGTAATGATTAAAGGCACCAGGCTAGAATCTGGGAGACAGTGAGTTATAATGCCAATGTAGGCATAAATCCACCTGGGTGACCTTGGGGGCCAGTCCCTCCCTCTCACTGAGAGAAGCAACCTAGAACTAAGAAGAAATTTCCTGACAGATCAATTAACCAGTGAAACAACTTACCTTCAGAAGTGAATTCTCCAACACTAAATGTTTAAGAAGAGATTGGACAACCATTTGACTGAAATGGTGTAAGATTTCCTATCTGAGCAGAGGGTTGGACTAGAAGACCTCCAAGGTCCCTTCCAACTCTGTTGTTGTTGTTATTATTATTATTATTATTATTATTATTATTATTATTATGAATAATATCCCAACTGCAAGGACTAATCTAGGCAATAGCTAGAATTCAACACTGACTCAAAAGCACCACCACCAACTCAATTCTGCGAACCCTTTCCTATTAGCATCCCATCATCACTATTTTAAGGCAGGGGTCCCCAACACCTGGTCTGTGGACCGGCATCAGTCCACGGCATGCCAGAAACTGGTCCATGCAAACAAAAGTGAAGCCCCATCTGTGGGATGCAGGCAGCATGCGAAACCACGCGCCCTCCGGTCCATGGAAAAACCTCTCTCCATGGGACTGGTCCCTGGGGCCCAAAAGGTTGTGGCCTCTCTACTTTAGGGCATCCATTCCTAGCTTACTGCTTCCCAAATGACTTGGACTACAACTTCTCTGTGGATAGTTGCAGTCTAGCATATCTGAAGGGCATCAGGATGGATAAGGTTCTTTGGGGGAATATGCTTGACTTTTTCCTAATTTTAACTGGATGGACTTCATAGAGACTTTTCATTTGATTGTATGTGAAATCTGTGAATGGAAAACCAATGTAGGATCCTTATCCGGTGATGAGCCATCTTGCGAAC